ATTAGTGTTAATATGGACTATAGATTTAAGACTTTCTAACTCTTTAAATTAGAGTTATTTATTTTAATGTAAAATTAATATATAGTATTGTGAAATAATTATGTAGATTATATTGACAAAGATAGTGGTGAAAAAGGAGTTGTGAAGGGGAACTTGTTATTCAAGACACAAGGTAACCATTATTAATGTGTTGTGATGAGTGTGTTTGTGAATGGTTATGTGTTGTTTTGTTGTTTGGAAAAATTATGAATTATTGAAAATAAATACTGTATATACTTGTTTGAAATTATTGCCAAGTGGGTTAAAAATTTATTTTTGTTTATCATGATGAGATATTATTGTTCGGATATATTCCTGTTTGGATATTTGAATGATGCATGACTTGTCAGGGTATTTTAATGTATGGTGTTAATGGGAATTTCTGTTCGGTTAATTATTACCACGTGGTAAGCCCTCATTGGACCCAATGAGTGGCGTGTCGCTTGGTCCAACTCACCTTTGGCCGGGTGATTTGGCGTCCGAGCATGGTGAAAGGAGGATATAAGGTGCAGTCATGCAATTAAATACTTGTTCGGTTTGTTTGAAAATATTGTTCGGTTAAATGTTTTGTGTGCCCACTTAGCAATCGCATGATTAGTTACATCCGCATGCATCATTACATATTAATTTTTGGTTACTGAGACTTTTAAGTCTCATTCCCCGTGGTTAATATTTTTACAGGAGCGAATCCGGCCGAGAAAGCACCAGAGGTGTAATTATGGTGTATGAGACACCATCTTTTACGTTGCCTCTTATTTTGGATTATACAATGTATCTTGTGCCAACTTAGGACATATCTTGTCTATGGAGCATGTAAACTCTAATCCTTTTTATTAAATGCATTTATATGTCCAAGAGGATTATGTCTGTCCCTTTTGATTCATGACCTAATTTAAATAACATGCTATGAGGATCATGTCTGTCCCTCATGGTTCTAATTGCTTTTTGAGATATTTTAAGACCTGTGGTATATTGTCTTGGATGTATCATGGTAGAAATTTTTCTACCATGATAAGGGTATGATAAGGGTTCAATGAAAAAAAAAATGATTTCTTGAATTAATAACTTGCGAAAAATCGGTTTGTAAATTTGAGGGTGTTACAAAGAACATTTTAAAAAATTTATATTTTTATTTTAAAAATATAACACTGTAAAGTTTATTTGATATATTTCATTGATATGTATAATTGTATTTAAATGTGTTTTATAAATTGAGACAATTGATATATTAATAGATAGAGCTTGTATGTAAAGTGTGCACTAGTATACAGTAATAGGTAGTCTGGATATATGACTCGAACTGTGCATCTAATTGCTGTTTGTTGGTTGACCAGTTAATGGATGATGGAGACTGTATGCATCCATCAGAAAGTGCGTAATTTTGTGATTTGATAACTCCAAACAGGTCATTAAACGCATCCATGCGGACCATGCCATCCCATTTATTCCTCCCTTCCCATGATATATTATTATTATTATTCTGAAGTGTTGGTATTTAAATTAAGTACAAATTTTTGCTTTCATCCATCCGTTGCTCTCTCCGCGGATCTAGTACCATTAAATAACTATAAGGATAATCAATTCCAGTTGATAAATTTCTTGAAAAATTTGCAAATCAATAACGAAGTCACATAAAAATAGTGTAGATATTCAACAATGATTTATACACCCTATATGCAAGGGTGCTTCTTTTTCTTAACATTATAAAAGCATAGTTAAATTAAATAACATTTGGTTAGGGGAGATCATGGAAGATACATTCTGATTATTGCATCAATGTACATATAAATTAGGATTAATGTGCAAAATAGACTATGAAGTATTGTGTGAAAAGCGCCTTAAATTCTTAAAATGTATAAAATAAATTTTAAATTTTTAAAATTTATAGTAAATTAAACCATATCGTTAACTCACCATTAATGCCTTCACTATTCACTTAGTGGGGCTCAGTCAAAACGTTAATGTGACAGTTTCTTATTGATATGTCATTTTTAATTAACATCACATATCCTAAACTATCACGTGAGTAACATCCTAGGCTCTGGACTTTGAAATTCAGAGCAAATTGCTCGCACCATTTGTGTAGAACGCTGATTATTATATAAACTAAATTAGCCTTAATATGATTCACCAAGATAAATGCATCGTTGGCTGCAGCAAATGACTCATAATTTTATGAAATGACACTTTTTGCCTCTTTTTTTGCAATATTTTATAAACGATTGGTATCTCATGCTTCTATATACACTATTATTTTGATTTAGTCTTGTTTTGAATAATATTTATTTATTTAATGATGAAAACCTAGGATCCCATTAGAAGATAAGTTTAATATTTTAATTAATCGGTTAATTTAGATTTGAAATTTATTGATAAAATTATTGGCTTTCACATCCATCATTCGCAAAATATTCTAATATTTAAATTTTTTTTCAAACGAGATCCCAAATTTTCATCATTAAATAAATAAATATTATTTAAAATAAGATTAAATCAGAGTTATAGAATATATAAAATCATGATATACTAATTGCTTGGAAAACATTACAAAAAAGGAGCCAAAAAAATGTCATCTTACAAAATTATGGGTCATTTGTTGCAGCTAACGATGCATGCACCGTGGCAGACCACATTGAGGTTAATTTGATCTATATAATACTTAGTGTTTTACACATAAACAATGAGAGTAATTTATTCTAAATTTTAAAGTTCAATATTCAAGATGTTACTCGCGCAATAGTTTAAAATCTGTGGTGCTGATTAAAATGACACATCAGTAAGGGATCATCACATTAGCATTTTGACTGGGCCCCACTGAGTGAACAACAATGGCATTAATGATGAGCTAATAATAAGATTTAATTTGTTGTGAATTTAAAATTTTAAAATTTATTTTATATATTTTAATAATTTAGGGTTCAAGACGCTTTTCGCACCATACTTCAAGTTTACTTTGCACACTAACCCTATAAATTAATGCTAAAGTATCATAAATTACTGCCAATTATATATTACATGAAATTAATTTATTTATAATATATTAGTTAGTTATGACCATTTAAACAAATCATTTAGATTAATATATTTTGGCAATGTTAATGCCTTTTACAAGATAATGTGAGGAGATCATAGGACATGGGCGCGCGCGCGCACATAATATTTTGGTGTCAATCGGGGACTTCTAAATTACATCTTAAAAAATTTAACATGAAGATTAAATTTGTTGCTATATATATATATATATATATATCTACTAGGCAAGCCGACTCATATGTATTATTAAATTAATGACAAATGCCACAGATCATTGATAGCATACTATACATGAGATTTAGTTAGTTACAACAAATTAAAAAAAAAAACTCATATCAATATTTCTTGAATTGATTATGTATTTTCAAAACTCAAAATCAGCTATCAAAATGATGTCCAAAACGCAAACAACGAGTCAGACACCCCAACCCGGAAACAAAATTGCGGAAAAAAGTCAACAATACTCCGAGTCATGGGATATATACTCTTGTGTGCTATATTTAACAAAAATTAATTGCATACAATAAACAACAAATAAAATGAATACATGTTTGTGGCCCCCGGTGGGTGTCTCTTTTTTTCTTACTTTTCATTTTCTTCATTTTCCCTTCATGACCATTTGATCAAACATTTTCAACTATACATAAAATATATGATTTTATAATTTAAAATTATTTAGATCAAATTTTAATAGTTTAAATTTATTTACATATTTTGATGTGAAAAAAAATAATTTTATTAAATATTTAAATTGAATGGTTCAAATTTTAATCTAACTATAGTTGGAAAAAAAAATAAAAAGAAAAAAAACAGAGAGGCACCCACCACGTGCCCCCATCCTCGTCGTCTCTCCTCTGTTTTCGTAGACAATTTTTCAACAAACTCACACCCCCAGCGTCGGAAAGAGGTTGTCTCCATTTCTCTTCCCTCCATTTTACTCCATTTCTCTCCCATCACCTTTGGATCAAAAATTTAATGGTTCAAATTGAGGCTTTAATAAAATTATTATTTTATTTTATAAAAAAGTGTATAAATAAATTTAAATTATTAAAGTTTAATCTAAATCATTTAAAGTTATAATATTTATTTATATATTTTATATAAAATTAAAATAACAATTTTTTTAAAAAATTAAATCTAAACCATTGAAAAGTTTAATTCAAAGGTGATGGAAGAAAAATGGAAGGAAATAGAGGGAAGAGAAATGGAGACACCCTCCTCCCCCCAGCGTCTATGGCTTAATTTTTTTTCTCTTTAGCCGAGGTCCGAGGCAGTGATGCAGAAGATCGAGATCCTATCTGAACGTAATTACCCAGATCTAAAATATATTACATTGTCAAATAATTAATAATAGTTTGTATAATTAAAATTATAAAAAAACATCACTATATTTAAATATTGTCTTCTAATAGAATAATTTATTACTATTAATTTTACAAGATGTTTTATACTTTCATATTTTCGACTAGCACAACCTAATTAAAAAATATCCTACTTTTTTAATTGGGGGAAATAACTAGTAAGAATTAAGAAATTGTATAAAAGCATCTAGCATTTTTAGTTAGAGCTAGTGAAAGCTTTTAATTTTTCATTAGTATTGTCATATTATTCAGAGTACAATTTTTTTAAACAAACTTATATTCGGAGTACATTAATACGGCGAGAAACAAACAAGGAACACTGGCCAGTCCAAAAGGATCCAACAGATAAGATTCGTGCGTTTCTTAATTACTTGAACTAATTTAATATTTATTTATAATGTACACCTTGCTCAATTGAATAATTAGTTGAAATTGATAAAAAGAATAAGACGTCCATCTAGGGTGGGGTATAACGAGCCGGCATTCTTTGAGGAACGTTAAAATTAAATGGCCACTAATTAATTATTAATTATTAATTAATATATATAAATCATTGAGCGTAACCCAGAGTGTTTCTCCACTCCTGTGAACCGGACGACCCAGGACGGGGCACACACCGCAACAGTTTGTTTGAACCAGCATCGTTACAGAGACGCGCAAGATGCAAGACAGGGAAGCATCGGAGCCGCGAAAGGGTAGCGCCAAGAGAGTCCTTTTCTTAACAAACTGCCTCTTGCTCTGTCTAGGCACCAGCGGTGGCCCTCTCATAAGTCGCCTCTACTTCCTCCACGGCGGCAAACGCGTCTGGCTCTCCAGCTGGCTCGAAACCGGTGGATTCCCTGTCTGCCTCCTTCCCCTATTCATCTCTTTCATTCGCAGCCGCCTCTCCCGACAAGCTAAGCCCTTCGTCTTCATCGACGCGCGCCTGTTCCTTTCAGCCTTCGTCATCGGTGTTCTCACCGGCCTCGACGATTACCTCTATGCTTACGGCTTAGCTCGCCTCCCCGTCTCCACGTCCGCTCTGATCATCGCCACCCAGCTGGCTTTCACCGCCGCCTTCGCCTTCCTTCTCGTCAGGCAAAAGTTCACCCCTTTCTCCATAAACGCCGTCGTCTTGCTCACCACTGGAGCTGGTGTGCTGGCTCTTCATTCATCCGGAGATCGTCCCCGAGGCGAGTCCACCAAGCAATACGTGCTGGGGTTCGTGTTAACGCTGACGGCGGCGGCCTTGTACGGTTTTTTGTTGCCTTTGATAGAGCTCATGTACGGCAAGAGCAAGCGGAGAGTGACCTACGTGCTGGTCATCCAGATTCAGTTGGTGATGAGCTTCGGTGCCACCCTGTTCTGTACAGTCGGGATGATCGTCAACAATGACTTCAAGGTTCACCGCTCTCGGATCTCTTCATCGCAACTCTATTTTTTTTTTAAAAAAAAAAAATTGATCTATATACATATCTTATCAGGGAACTCAAGCGTTATATTTTGCAGGTGATGGGAAGAGAGGCGAGAGAATTCGGGCTGGGGGAGACAAAATATTACGTAGTGTTGGCGTGCAGCGCGATCATGTGGCAATGTTTCTTTCTGGGAGCTATAGGAGTTATCTTTTGTGCCTCTTCACTGTTTTCAGGTATTATAATTGCCGTGATGCTGCCGGTGACGGAAGTGTTGGCCGTAATTTTCTACCGAGAGAATTTCACAGCAGAGAAAGGAGTTAGCCTGGGTCTCTCAATTTGGGGGTTTGTGTCCTACTTCTACGGAGAGTATAAACAAATTCAGAAAAAGAAGCAAAATAATCCCACCCCTGATACGGATTTGCCTCCCACTCTTCCTAATCCATGAATCCGATACTCGTATATTAATACGTGCGTCTTGTAATTTTTGTGTGTGGCATGCATCGGATTATATATTGCTAGTATTGATTTTCGTTATATTCCGCATAGAATGCATCTGTATGCTTGCCTGATGATTTCGGAGTGTTTTACTCTACATGCTTCCCACCAGCATCATTGCTGGGAGTAAAAGCACGCACGTTTGAACATTCCTTTTAAGTTAGGCTTTCAATAACAATATTTTAATTTTATACTCTATGTAGAGAATATCTATGAAATATTTAGATATGGACATAAAAACATACTTGAGTATTTTTTTATTATTAAAAAGGGGAAAATACATTTGGCCCTTTTAATCTATAAAAGAATAGCTTATCTAGCTAACCATATCTTACAATGTACTTAGAAAAAATGGTAAAAAAAATAATAATAATAACACAATTGAAGAGCATGGTTGATACCTGATGACAGCCATAGCATAATTGGTGCCAGCACCTTCCTATCACTTACTCACTGCATGCCAATCGATACACATTAAATACTTTATGGTAAGGAAAATCAATGCCTCACCACCCCACCCACCCAAAAAAAAAAAATAAAAACCATATGGATCCCAATCGTCGCATGGTGCATTGATTGAATTAGTGTTCGGTAGCACCAATTTTTTCTCCACTGTCTTAACTCTGAAAACATCAAAACAACCGAAAGTGAGACGGACCAGAATGGAGCATCCTCTCACGATGCTGAGAGAGCGAGAGAAAGAGTGCAAGTCTGGCCAGTCTTTAAATCCATAGTTCATCGATCACACCGCTTCGGTTTGCTCGAAAGGGGCCGAAAGTGGTGGATCCATTTTCACCGTTTCTACCTTATCCTCCATTGGCCAGCTGAACTGGTGCAGCTTATTTTCTTGTATCTTAACTGTAGTTGTTACCCAAATTGGGTTTCCTTGAATTGAGTTTACCAAGTACAGATTGCAAAGTACGCTAAAATGGGCTTGGAGTTGAAGTTGGCATAGATCTTAATGTTTGAAGTCTGTAATTTGCTGTTTGTTGATACGTGTTGTCATAGCCTCGGCTTCGTCCCACCTTGTATTATTCGATTGGGTATTCAGTTTGCATTCATTTTCACGCAACCAGCGTCCGTGTTAATCTAGACGGCCACGTCAAATTAAAAATACGTCTTATATTATAAAATATTTTAAATAAAATTATACGTATTAATAAAATTTATTAAATATATTTTATAACTTTTTAAATAATAACATAAATTTTAATAAATGTCATTCATTTAATACTCTATTTATAAAAAATATTAAAAGGGAGGTAATATATAAAATGGGAAGTATTAAAAAAGAATCATTAATAAAATTTTATCTTTATTAAAATATAAAAAAAGAAGTAATACTAAAAAAATATTATTAATAAAACTTTATTTTTATTAAAATGTCTTATATTTTAAAATGTAAAATATTTTTAAAATTATTTTATAATTTAAAACGAAAAGGTATCATTTTATATGAAAAATATAAATTTTAATTTAGATCGTTAAAATTAATTTAAATAACTCAAATTTTATGCAGCAATTGTGCCCATCAGCATCAGTATTTTTGCGGCCACATGGATTAATGAATGATGAGACGATACAACAAAGAGTCGAGAATCATTTTTATTCCTCAATTATATATAAAAAATTATAAATGTTTTTAAATTTAATTATAAATTAATTATGTTTCTCAAATTAAAAAATTTGTTCATCCGTTTATCCTGTTGTTATTTTTTTTATTAAATGTGTCCCACATTTGATTTTTTAAATATTATTTATTATAAAATATTTAATTGTAGGTCTCACAGCTTATTTTATATATTTTTATAATATAAAAATTTTTTTTTTCAAGTAGAAGGAAAATGATAGGAAGTTGAAATTAGGAAAGTAATGAGAGATATTTGACTCTTCTCCTCACATTCTCTCTCTACCTAAACTCCAATAGCTCGTGTCTCCCACTTTGAATCTCTTTCCTCCACCATCTTCACCGAATCCACAAGTGCCGCTGCAAGCTGCATCATAGCAATGCGACCATCTATCCTCTTGCTGGGCCCCTTCAGGGCAAGCAAAGCACCATCAACGTGCTTGAAGGTGACAAACCCATAACCCTTAGACTTCCAGGTGGCCTTATCAAGAATCACAATGGCTTCTTCAAGCTCGCCATAGGTGAAAAAGAGGGAGCAGAGGCTATCAGTAGTGGTCTCTCATCTAAGACTATGGATAAAAAACTTGCGTTGGGTGATGTTTGGGTCTGCTATAGATTGCATGGCGTCAAGGATGTCAGCATGGTGAACGACGACATTTTCTGGATGGGAGATGGGGACGAGAAACAGAGGGAGGGAGGGAGAGAGAGTTCAGATATTTTTCAACCTCTGTTTTGATGATAGAAAAACAAAGCAAAGAGACAAGCCTTCAAAAGCAACAAACAACACCTATTTTTTGCAAGACTTGATTTAAAATGAAGAGAGAGAAAGAGGGAATGGAGGGGGGGGGGGAGAGAGGAATGAATGATGAAAAAGATCAAGAGTAGTATCACATTGTTGAACTCGGGACTTGACTAGTGAGAGCAACATGCTCTAACCAGCAAACCCTCCTCATGTATGCCTTCGTCTTCCACCTCCTAGTTCAAACCCTCCCCGTGCACTCAATTCGTTCATCTCCTTTGTCGCTCATTCACCCGTTTGGATCCAACATCTTCATCACTCCCTCCATGGACGTCTTATCCAAGTGCCCTGTAGCTCCTCCTGATGCATCCTTGTGTGTTTGGGTGCCCTAGATGCCATAGCTTAACGTTGATGCATTGTGCCTGTGCTGGCCAGGCACGTTCAAAAGGATAAAGCTTGGAGAGAGAGATAGGAGAAGGAGAGGGAGATGGGGAGAGATCAAGAGAGAGGAGTGAGCCATGTAAAAAATATAATAAAAAAATAAAGTGGCTCTCGCTCTTATATTTTATTATTAAAAATATTTAAAAAATTTATGTGGGCCTCACTAATAAATAATTAGAGTATGGAGGAATCAAAATTTTGAGATGGGAGGATAAGATTAATCCTAAATAAAATTTAATATTATTTATATATTTTAATAATTTAAGAATGGAAATGACTTTTTTTTTTTTTTGAAAAAGGACAGTCCAGACTCGCAGCGTTAACTTGGATGGTCCAAAAGCAGAATTCGTTGATTTAATGCCGGGGCCACGTCTACCCTCTCTCTCTCTCTCTCTCTCTCTCTCTCTCTTTATGGGCACGATTTTTGTTTTTTCAATGCAAAATCATCATCTCCCTTGATTTTTATTTTATTGGTTTTTTTTTTGTTATCCTTTGGGATGCGCGCGGCATGAGGTATGTGTTTCCCGTAATAACATTGCTCCCAGTAAAAATCTCCGCCTTCAATAGAGTAAAGTTGACTTCTTTTAATAAAAGGAAATCGTTCTTGAATTTGCTCTTTGCCAAAAGGCCGATGTGGGCCCGGGCAATCATATAACTGGATTATTTTTATTTTTAGAGGATATTAAATTTTTAATTCTTAAACTTATCTAATCTCAATCATCAATTAAGTTATTTAAATTTAATTTTTATTAAATTGGTCATTAAAGCTTACTTTAGTTATTGATTTTGTTGTTATTGAAAGAGGAGATATCATTATTAAGATGTATGAATATTAATAACGAAGTGCATATTTGGACATGGAATTATAATTAATTATTTGTATGGAAATGACGTTTTGATGAAAGATATCCCAACACTTTCATTTCTATATGGTTATTTTACCCAAACTGCGTGTTGGCTTAAGTTGGTTTGCTCCTCAATTTCAATTATTCTTATTAGAACATTTATTACTTTTCAGAATTTCGAGCCTACCAAGTACACCCTTGGTTTTTGCGTAAATGTGCGCATCTTCTCTCCCTGATCTAGTGGCTGCTAACATTTTAAGACCTCTTATAATGAGATTCACGTTGAAAAGCCTCACAATTATAGAGTTTATAAATTCAAAAACTCTCTCATTTAATAAGTTAATTTTTTAAAATGAATTCTGTCTTTAAATCTATATTCATAATAATAATGAGAATTTGATGTCATAAAAAGAGTTATTCATAAAAGTTTCTAATTGGTAAAATGATGAGTGAAGTGTTATGAAGTGAAATTATTGGAGATCCTCACCGGTAGTATAGGGTTTATAAATTTAAAAAGCTATCTCACTCAATATGCTAATATTTTAGGATGGACTGTCTGCCTGTGCTCGTAACAGTTCTCTCTTCGCTTTACATGAACGTCGTTCCAGTTTCTATCATCCTCTTGTGACCTGCGACCTCTTCTTCCTCAACTCAAAGATATGTCGGGAGTGAAGGACGAAGGAGTGAAGATGCTTGCCCATGAGATTGAAATGCTGAAGATTCAAGATTCATGAAGCTGCAGCATCTGAGAACATCTGAGTTGAAGAGGTTGCTTGCTGTTGGGCCTATAAGTGAGTTGAAAAATAACGAAGAAAAGGAGAAATCGACGGCGAAGAAACGTCCTAGGGGGACAAAAGGCGAGTAACTTTTCTTAAAATATCAAAAGCAAACAAGACATTAAATCTGAAAAAAAATGAAAAAAAGCTGTAACATTGATAAAAAATATTATTAATGTTACAATTAATTTAATTTAAATTTACATTGTTAATCAATATATGTGTGTTAAGTAATTTTCAAAATATTAAATGTATCACTGTTATATTTTTGTTAAATGAATTTAATAATATATTTGTCCTAAAACTCATGTCTTTCATTATAATTTATATATCTAAAATTAATTTTAATTAAAATCATCTAAACATCTTCAATTTTATTAAAATTAATTTTAAAAAAATATCACTCAAACACCATCACATTACAATATAATTAATTATAATCAAAATCTATTATGTTCATAGTTTTTTTTAATCATCAATTATACTCAAATAAATTTCAAACATATCCAAAATATTGATAACAGTCATGTAAATTAATAAAAAAAATAAAAACAACTTAATCAAAAATTTGAAAGAAATAAAAGAAAAAAACACTGTAAAAGAGACTATATTGATAAAAATTAAATTGATTTAAAGGTTAAATTATTTTTATTTAGCTACATACACATGTTAAATTATCAATATGTTTTATACATTAGGTTGATTTGAGAGTTAATTTATATTTTAAAATTTAAAAGACTAATATGATAATTTAAGAAAACGTAAAGAAT